CTCCACCCCCACAGGTCCTCCAGGTGAAGCTCCACAACCTGCCAGAGTGAACAGCAGGTTTTAAGGTCTGTAAAGAACCTGGAGCATCTGTGCTGTTTGCAAAAGCGGCCCGTCACCTGGAGCGGCCCCGTTCTGATGAAGTACCGGGCCAGATCCAGCGCTGCCAAGGCGTCCTCGGTGGGATTGTGACCCCTCTGGTCCTCGGTTTGGATCCGCCTCCTGAGACGCAGGCGGAACAATGACCAACTGTGTGACAGACACGCAGAGGCGCTTGAACGGGAACTCACTTCAGCACCACCTCGGCCAGAACCTTCAGTTTAAACTTCTGTCCGTGTTCTTTCCTGTACAGCAGGGCGGTGTCGATCACGTGAGGGTGGATGAGCTGTTGTTGGGGACAGAAAGTCACAACGGTTTTAAAACCACAACTTGGTGGAAATGTTTTTGGGGTTTTTTTGTAGCGATGCACTGATTGCACTTTTCTGGCCGATTACCGATCTTTAAAAAGCCTGACCTGCTGATATCAATTTTATTTATTTACTTTTTAAATGTTGCAAAGTATAGCAAGAAAGCAATTCACAGACAAAGCAAAACAGTTAAGTGAAAATGTTTGCGCTCTTTAACTCCCTCCTGAATAGTAGCAAATGGGAAATTCTGCCAATAAAGTATAGAAATCTTTAAACTTACAATAAACCAGCCTTAAGAAAAGATGGAAACTGTAAAGAAACTATAGGTTCTGAAAAAAGTTATTTAAAAAATATGGTTGATAATTACAATCTAATAGACTTTAGTGCTGAAACGTTTACATGCTGAGACTGAACATCATGTAAGAATCTTAGTGACTTACTTTGAGTGCTTTGAGGTCATTGTTGAGGGAGTGGCCCACTAGAACGGCATTATCCGGTAACAGTGTCCTGATCTTTGCCTGAACGTCCCGCAGCGTGGTGGTGATCGGTCTTAACATGGCTGCAGTGATGCCTGAGAACCTGATTAATCAAACCAAATAGCCTTTTACCTTCAGACTCCATTCAGAAAGACTATTAATTCAAAAGGGAAATTAAAATATAAGCCTTGTGTGCGTTTTAGCATTTCTCACCACATAAGGCCATTATTATTGTATTTTATTTTTTCCGAAGAGTTTTTGTGGCACTAGTGGCTCGTATTTTTGGAAAGAGGGGAAGGAGAGGGGAAGACATGCGGCAAAGGTTGCCGGGAGCGGGAGTCGAACCCGCGACGTCCGCGTCGAGGACTGAGGCCTCCAAATGTGGGGCGTGCTAACCCTCTGCACCACCACAGCACGCCCCACGTAAGGCCATTTTTTCCAACACATACTACATTGTGATGACCTATTATGAAGATATAGCTACTGTATATATTTATGTGTGAAGCAGGTTTTGATGTCCTTGTGGGGACCTATTTCCATCTACAATGGGGGTTGTGGGAACCACTGTTATTATGGTGACATTTCTTGGTCCCCATGAGGGAAACACTGTTTTTGGGTTAACTATGTTATAGCTAGAGTTAGGCAGTAGAAAATGAATGGAAGTCAATAGTAAGTCCTCACAAGACACAAAAACATGACCGTGTGTTTGTGTGTGTGCTAGCATACTTCGTTAGGTAATTGATGACAAGGTTTTGAGGTTTCACCAGCTCATCCAGTAAGCAGTTCCCATTGCTGTCCACCAGAGAAACACGAGCCAGCTCGTTTCCTTTCATTGTCTGACACTGAAACACAACGAGGAACAGAGTGGACAATATGAAGACTGAGGCACTACAGTAGTCCAGTGTTTAACTCTGCTCTTAGTGATGCTAACGGTGGGGAACTGGGAGAGGGTGTTCTGTCAGACTGTCACTTTCCAAAACCACAAAAAAAAAAAACTCCTAAAATTACTGTCCAAGCTCACAGACTGCAAGGAAGGAAGGAAGGACTCACTCACCATTTCACAGTCTAGTCCATACAGCGGGCTGTCATCACTTGCACAGACATTGCTGTCTGTGCACATAAAGTCCTCGAAACCTGGAAGTCCTTGATCAAATAAAGGTGCAGAACACATTTATGTTCAAAAGCAAAACTTTAAAAACATACTGTTTCATCAGGGTGGATGAATTTAAAACTAGCTGAGCATTTTACTCACCATAATTAACACAATTTAAAAACAGAGTAAGTTTGTAATACTGAAAAACTCCAAAGTGGAAGGTAATGTGGAGGTTTGCTTATTTATAAAAGATTCAGCTGGAATAAAACTGATTCACCATCTATGCCTTTAATAAGTTTTACTATGGAAGATAAAATCAGAATAAATAACATTTTACAAATTTAAAAATCAAACTAAATTTTTTTACCCTTGACTGGATAGTGATTTTTTATCATCTGCTGTTGGCTCAGCATATATGCAGTCAGTCCCCTCCTCTGAGTGCCAAACATAGTGATAACTGGGTGATTCCTCAGGGCTGAAGAAGCAAAAACACACAAAGTTCATCTGATAATTTTTTTTTGGTTTTGTTTTTACTGAAACTCCTCCTGAAACACAGCATCACAGCAGAAATAAATAGATGTGAATAAATACTACAAAGCGTTTCTGCAAAACCTGAACATAATCAGGTTTTGTTCCTGGTGACATTCAGGAACAAAAGTTTGAAATAGTGATCAATAAGAAAAAGTCTGAACAGTACGGAAGTAGATTAGGGTCACTGAAAAACAACAACAACTGAATTCTGATTTCTTTTCTCAGAATTGGAACATTTTCCTCAGGATTCTAACTTGAATCTAAAAATTCTGACTTTATTCTCAGAATTGTGTCTTTAACTTTAAAATTTTGAATTTTTGTCCACAGAATTCTCACTTCAATTTCAAAGTTTTGACTTTAATTTCAACATTTTGACTTTTTTCTTAGAATTCTGACTGTAATCTTGAGACTGATTTTTTCCCATTATCCCTAATCCTCTTCTGTAGAACAGTAATTGATGCTTTACAGATTGTTACAGCACATCTTGTTGTTTGCTGGTTGTATCCATAGCAACAACATTCGAGCTGCGCCCCTCACCTTCATGAAGCGCCTCCTCTGATGCAGAAAGAGATAAAAAATCCACCTCAGGAACTTCAAGGCTGAAGATGTCAGATGCCACATCGTCAGATGGAGTGAATGTAATTCTCTGTCAGCAGCAAATAAAATAAAGTAAGTAAGGCGTCTACAGTATAATCAGAACCTCTGTCACCCCGCCCCCAGTTCCTCACGGTGGAGTAGATGCTCCGGAGATGCACCATCGAAAGGTAGTGGTTGTAGAAGAGACTCTGCGTCACACCGTCCACGATTGCAACATTTATACGGCTGATCTTCCTCTGATGGTGGAGACGACACCAACTGGTGTGGACAGGAATGCGGAAACGACGTGAGTCTATCGTGAATGATTCAGAGACTAAGCCGACGGGAGAAACGCTACCTCGGTTGTTTGATACCCCTGGATTTCCCCAGAGCAGCAAAATGAAGCAGCTCCATCAGCTGAGCCACGGTGATCGGCTGCTGCAAGCGGTCGAGACGCACCGACACCTTCGCTGAACTGCCAGCTCGACTCTGGAGGTCTTCATAGCCTTCCTCTTCAGTCTTCCTTCTTTTGACGTCCTCCTGTGCAGACGGAGCTTCATTTTGTCTTTTCTTTTTGCCGCTCAGGACGTTTGGAGATGAGGAGCACTCCATGCTCAGGCCGATGTGTCTACAGTGAAGGAAACGCGAGGAAAGAGCATTTGAAATCCACACGGTTTGAATGTGACTATGGAAGAGGTTACATTTCTTGTGTGGGTTAACAGAACTGTGAACAGTTTTTGTGACTTTTCACACTTTAGTTTTTAGAATTATTAACTGCACTTTCTGAACCATTTGAACGGTTTGTTGCATTTTATTTGTGCATATTTGACAATTTTTACATGTTTGACCAATTTGTAGGTTAATCACAACTACAAAAAGATTTTAATATTTACCAATAGCATTGAAATTGCACTTTTTCCTAATAGTATGAAAATTCACCCCACAGTCAGAGTCCAACTGGAAATTTATTGAACAAATATGTTTTATCTGGAAGATTTACCAGTCATTGTTTTGCTCCTACAGGTGATGAAGAACTCTTAGATGCCCAACAGATGACACTGGGTCCAAACTGGGTCATTAGCAGGACAGTGATTCGAAAATACAGCAGCAGATCTACAACACAATGACTGGAAAGAAAAGAATCGAATCAGGATGCTGCGAAATTCAGACCTTCAACTGACTGAAACCTTTACAAACTGAAGGAATGCTGCAAGCCTGAGCCATATTTCCTTCATAAAGATATGAGAGACTGACAGTCATTCAAAACACGCTACTTTTGAAAATTCGCGTTGTTATTGTTTGCCTAATTTTGATAACTCATGAGTGTTTTAATCTGACATTGCAGAGCTAAAAGTAAAGAGAGAAATAACGGTGATCTGAGCCAAACATCACATTGTTAAATAATAACAATCGTTATAGAACTTTTTCCACATGATACGAGCCTTTAGCTATATAAAATAATGTTAAAATCCAAAGGCTCGTTGGCTTAACAATCCGTGTGTGTTTCGTTTTTAGCTTATTTACGACACCCTAAAAGTACTGAAAGATGTTAAACCTAAAGGGAAACTTAGAATTGAAAAATTACCAGATGTTAGGGGTCCGGGTGAGTCCATAGGGACAGAAACACACTTCAGAGCACGTTACTGGATGTTGGTCCAAAGGGAGAGCGGATGTTAACAACTTCTTAAAACTGCCTTTCAGAATAAACTACCATTGGGTTTTCAGTTTGTATTTACTGGATAATTTTAAGATTTTCGGACGGTTAATCAAGTTTTTATTTCGTTTATCGCATTCAAATGAATAAACATTCCCCATGTTGTCACTCTTGTTTGTATAAATCTTATAATTGCGATAATTGTGCTTTTATTTTGACGTAAAACGCTGTACCGGAACTGCGTGTTTCCAGACTGTCGGCTGTTTTCCTGCAGCTCTGCGTTTGACCTCGCTGCCTTACAGAACAAACGAATCGAGCTCCGAATTATTAATTAATGTTTGAAAAAACAGCGGCAATTTTTGAGTTTTCAGGTTATGCAGCAAAAAATCTCTATTTACGTTGCGATAATAATATTTGGGACGGATTTGCATCAAACGACGGATATGGCTACAAGAAAACTAGCAAAGTAAGTGAATTAGCTCATTAGGCCCCTACAGCTAACACATTTTGACAAGGAAACGTGACCGCATAGTTCCAATATTTAGGTGTCCTTCTTTTAAGGGCCTTAAAGATTAATGTTATTTCTAAAAAAAAGTGAACTCTTAATTTTATATTATGTTTTCAATTGGGTTTTTGTTATTGTTGACAGCAATGTAATTGCTCAGCGTGACACACGAGGGTATACATTTGTCCGTTTTATTCGAGGACAAATAAAACGGACAAAGAATCAGAGTTCAATGAAACTGCTTCCAGAGCACACCAGAAACCTCAGCGAGAGCTGAATTTAAAGGCCAATGAAGTGTAATACCGCCATGTTTTACAGTACAAAGTGACTGAAGATACCATAAGAGGAACTGGTGTGAGGTTTTGTTTTCAGCGGATTAGATTTTGAATTGTAAATATAAATTTATTTATTTGTTTTCAATAAACCTGCCTCGTGATACTTAACCGTACGTTAATCTCTGTTAAATTTCTGGATTTACGTTTTATTGTTCTTTTCCTGAAAAAAGGAGATTAGGATTACTGAGGCAGCGAAGTCAATCTGCCTCTGGTTTGAAGAAATCAGTGATATCCAGTGAGTATTGATATCACAAACTGTATGCTTACTGTAGAGAAGTAAGCATATTATTTTTCTAGACTGTTTTTATGTATATATTTTATATAAATGCTGGTTTCTTCCAGATCAGATATTTTCATACTTGATTGTGATCGACTTTGAGTCTACTTGTTGGAGAGAGAAAAATAACTACGGTCAGGAAATCAGTAAGTATTGGTTGCATTTTTATCACTTTGATTTGATACAATTTGATTTCCTATGTGTTTGCTGATGTGGACTTGAATCCATGTATTTTTCTTCTCCCTGCAGTTGAATTCCCTGCTGTCCTGCTGAACACATCCTCAGGGGAGGTCGAGTCTGAGTTTCATACGTACGTTCAGCCTCAGGAGCATCCTGTTCTCTCGGAGTTCTGCACTGAGCTTACTGGAATCACACAGGTAATGATGGAGGACGCTTTTACGTTCAGAAACGTCCTCACACGCACGCCTGACTGCTTGAGTTTTGCTCGCTAAATAGGTGCAAGTAGAAGCCGGTGTCCCCCTTCAGATTTGCCTCTCTCGGTTCAACCGCTGGGTGCAGAACCTGCAGCTGGAGAAAGGGGTGATGTTTCCCAAAAAGCAGCAGACATGTTCTGCCTCTGATGCGTCCCAGAAACTGTGCACTTTCCTCACCTGGTCAGGTAACAGTCGGTTCGTCATGGCACCTGTGCCGGCTGGAACGATCTGAAATAATATAAAATTTGATTTAAGTTTTTTTTTTTCTATTTTTAATTCTTGTTTGCAAGAATGGAAAAAGTGTTGTAAAAGAAAATGTTTTAGTTCAAAACTTTGTATCTTTTACCCAGTTGTCTAAAGTTCTGCCCCTATTTTTGTATTTCCTTCTCTGTTCTGTTCTTGAAATCTTGAAAAAAAGTGTTTTCTGTTTTTATGCATTATTTCCCTCCTTCTTTCCTAACATGTTATTTTCTCCTCAAGTTCATCTCCTTCTTCCCATTTAGTTTTATCCTTCTTGTTTTCTTCCTTGTGTCCAACCTAGCTTCTGTCTTAAAAATTTTTGATTTTATAAAAAATATATAAGATATATATGCTTCTTACACATTAGAGAGAACTATGACATTTAATAAAAAATATTGCTCTTACATATGGAGAAGGAAATATGGGGGAACATGTATTTCCAGACTTCATTTTCCATCCCATTGCCTATCATCCACCTACACTTTGGTGGACCGCTAGGGGGCTCCACTTACAGCTTGACATCAGAATGTGATTTAAAAAATCTTTTTGCTACTTGCTTCTTCTCTGCTGGAATTGAGGAATAGAGTGTTGTTATTATTGGTGTGTTATGGTTGTATAAACTCTGGCTACCCTAAAAGAAGTAAATCAACAAAATACTTATAAATGAAAATAAATACAAAATAAAATGTCTAGAAAATATAGAGCACTCAACTTCCCTGGTTAAAAAAAAAGACACCATCACATTGAAAATACTGCTGTGACTGTTTTGCATAAAGCATTACCTAAAAGGAGGAAATTTCACAACATATATATTCCCAAGGTAGTTTGTAAATGCCAGCTTTAGCAGCTCTTATTAAAATCACAAAACCAAACAGTGAAATATAGCATGCCTTTTAGAACCACAATACTTACAATTAAACTGTTAGCAATTAAATTTTTGTGTTTTGAAAATGTCTCTGATTTTTCATAAAGCAAAAAGTATTTAAAGTGAAATTATCTGCGTTGTGTTTTCAGACTGGGATCTTGCCGTTTGTTTGCAGTATGAGTGCAAACGCAAACAGCTTTATAAACCAGATGTTCTCTGCAGCTGGATAGACCTGAGAAGCACATACAGGGTAACTATCAGCTAATCCGTCCCAAAACTTCCCCACTGTTTGTGGATGTTTTCTGATAATATTCCAGTTAATGTGGCAGATATGAAGTGTATAATATTAACTTGAACTATGCAATAAAACATTATTTCATTGGAGATGCACTGATCAGATGTACATTTCTTTATCTGTCCCGATATTGAAAGAAAATTCTGGATCAGGGCTCAGTGACAGTGTGCCTGATCCATCAGGACAGATCTATTCAATCTAATTCTATGCTTCATGCTCTGAGCAACATCATGTTTTATTATTTATTTTACATTATATTGGAAACTCCTAATGAGACTTTCTGAATCATTTAAAGGAAGGTTTGTTGCAGTTTATTTTGACATGTTTTACCAAGTTAATCAATCTGTTGTTTTTGTCAGTTTCAGTTTTCTTATTATTTATTTTACGTTGGCTGTTAAAATCCCAACAATAATGACTGAACGAATTAAAGTTGTTTGACTAAGCTTGTGAAACTATTGGTGTATTTAAGTGTAATACTGGTGCAGTTATCAAATAAATTTGTATTTCAGTAGATTTATATGTGTATGAAGGGGGTTAAAAAAAAACATTTCAAGTCAATTCAGCACCGTTTGTCTGTATTGGGTTGGTATCAGCAGAAGCTAAATTTGAGATATCTGTATCAGTATTGGAAGTGAAAAGTGGATCACTGCATCCCTATTTTTATGCATTGTAACAGAATAGATGAATTTGAATCTCATCGATTTCTGTCACTTCGCTTCACTTCTTTCTGCATCTCCAGCTCTTTTACAGCCGGAAACCCAAAGGCCTCAATGGAGCACTTCAAGATTTGGGGATTCAGTTTTCTGGGAGAGAACATTCCGGTACCAAAAGTGACATTTCTTTAGTTCAGCCTTTTCAAACTTTGGAGTCTTTTCGACAGTCTTTTTGTTTCTTTTTGCTTTTCAGGGTTAGATGATGCTCGAAATACAGCTCGGCTGGCCGTCAGAATGATGAGAGATGGATGTGTGCTAAAGATCACCCGGAACCTGGAGAGGGTGAGTGGGCACCCGACAATGTCCTGAGAGAACCCAGGCTCCTCAGATTCCTTAGCATCAACCTTGTATTTTAGGCTTTTCTATGTGGAAAATATTGACATCTTGTGATCTCATGTTTTTAATTTTAAATAATCAATAAACTGACTTCAGAAAATGATGAAGAATGAACTTCCCCTTTCTAAAGTTTTGTGCTTGAAAACAGAAAGAAAACACTGGATGATAATATTAGTATAGTGTATTCAAAAGGTTTCTTTTTAAAACTTCTGTGACCATCAATATTAAAAATTTTCACAGAAAAAATATGCAATGACCACAGCTCTGCATCACCTCCTCCAGTTCATCCTACACCTCACCACGCACCTTAGTGTTTCTTGGCTCTGCCCTCTGAAATGGATTTTATTTAGTTTTTTTTTTTTTTTTTTTTTTTTTCAAAAACTACAGGTGGGTTATTCTTCCTCAAGGGGGTTTGTTACACTTTATAGTACACACACCAACTATTTCCTGATGAGACAGTTTGGCCAAGACATTCTTGTGAAAAAGAATTAAAATGTAAATATTTCTTTTTTTAGGATAATAAATTGATTGCAGTGGATTTTTTTCGGGAGTATCAGTAAACTTACCGTTATAAAACGTTCATCATCTTTCCTTATTACTCATAATTCTCCACAATGAGGCCTGTCATGATAACAAATCTTTCTGGATGATAAATTGTCCCAAAAGTTATTGCAATAAATAATAATCTTGGTGATTTGAGACCATTTTCAAATGATATGTTAACGGCATAATAATGGAGGTTTGCCTGTTCAAAAACCGATAAACGTTCATTTTGTAGAGAACACTTACCACCTGAGTTGTGTATGTTTGGAATATCTCAAATAAGAACACAACCAAAGTAATAAATGAAACAGAAATAAATAAATAATAAAAAAAAAACATAAATACAATGGATTATAACATTTCTGTAAACAAAATTACTCAAAAAGTATTGATCATAAGAATTTAAGTTATTGAACTCTTTTTAATGCATCTTTTGTTTAATTGCTTTTGCGACAGGCTATGTGTTGGTCTGTCATTTATCACATCAAGTCCGATTAACATACTTTGAAGTTTGAGGCTAAATGTGACAACTTGCACCATTACAAGTGTGGAGCTGTAGGAGATGAAATTTTAAGAGGATATTTTGAATTTCTTTTTTTAAGTAACCGATTATCTGGTTTATATTCCCGCAGACTCCATCAATGGCCAAATTCCTTTTCAATAAAAATGTCCCTCCTTCAGGAAGAATGCAAGAAAAACAGGATGATGCCAGGAAAAAGGCAAATTTCCTTAACAGCAGCAAGAGCTCATCATCGTTCAATATTTCACTGAAAGCTCGTCAAAAACATCCTCTTCATGAGGAGCCTCCGAGTTCAAGCTCGGGTCAAACGTGTCACAGCCTAATATCACCAAAAACATTGTTGAACATAACAACAGCACCTTTAAAGGGACAAACTGACAAGTTGGCGACAGCACATGTTGTTCCTCGTCTTCTTTTGTCCACAGTTCCGTCAAACTGTAGCTCACCACACGGTAATGGAAGCAGCAGCCATGTTCTGTTCTCCACCACGGTTGGCTGCATTTCCTCTCTACGTCATCAAAACGTCGTCAAAACATCTCCTGCGGACGAAGAGGAGCGAGACCTTCTGGTGGAAACGGATGAGCGGTGCAGTTCTTACGATGACGTGGTGTTGGTATCCGATCAGACTGAAACGGATGCAGTCTCTGGTGGAACGGTTGGTTACGTTTCAGATTACGACGGCAGATGTCAGGAGTGGGACGGACTGGATCATTCACTCGAAGCACCCCTCGTTTCACAACACGAGAGAACAGAAAACTCAGAAGTACTGAATAATGCACGAGATTCATTGATGGTGGGAAAATCTGTAAATTCAAATGCTGAAGTCTTTAATCACGCAAGTGAAGAACCGCACCAATCAACAAGCAGACAGATGGAGAAATGTTTTGCTGTGCCGAAAGTTGTTAATTGGAGCAAACTGAATGGACATTTAAGGTTAGATACGCGTCATAAAAATAATCAACACAACAGGGTCTCTCCAGTTCTACCCAACCCCTTTCTGCCTGAAAACACTTCCACTCCAAATCCATCCACCATGAGACCCAAACCAACCACAGCGAAACACAGAGAACCTCTGAAATCTTCATTTACTATTTATACTGATCCAAAAACTCCTCATCCGTCTACGTCTAGCTCTTTGCATCCACCCAGAAACATCCTGTCCTCTTTGCCAACAAACCTGCTCTCCTCCTGTGCCAAAGGACTCAGTGGGGCTCTCTCAGCAAATGGGTCAAGGGTCACCTCCCCTCTGTGCACCTGTGGTCGCCGTGCGAGGCGGCAGGTTGTGTCAAACGGCGGTCCGAATCACGGCCGGGGGTTCTACTGCTGCCCGGTTCGCCGCTCGGGGGCCAAAGAGAGAGGCTGCGGGTTCTTTAAATGGGAGTCTGCGCTCATGAAGAGCAGCTCAGTGGCTCCCCCTGCTGCTGGGTCTTCTGTATCACTTTGTCAGGTCAACTCTGCACTTCCATACAGGCGGCCGCAGAGAAAAAGTTGCTGAACGACTGGAGGAGCAGCTGTGCATGCTCTTTGTCACTGAGCCACTAGTATTTACCAGCCTAAAGATGAGGACTTCTGAGTTACAAAAGAAAAAAAATCTTGCCGACAGAAGCAATAGGGCTGCACAATATTTGAGAAACATGTAACTAATAATTTTTGATAAAAAATTTTTATTGTTGGATTTTACCCTCACTTTGGGATTTTTCTTTTTTTGATGACCAGTGAGTTGCAACAGTTCTGTAGTTAACATTCACAGTGCTTTGTCAGAAGTGTCTTAGATCACCAAACACATTTCAATAACAGATAAACATAACTTGTATCCACACATCAAGTAATATTTTAATAAAGGCAAACATGCTGGTCAAACCAACCTGGCCAAATGTGAAAAAGTATTAAACCCTCTTGCGGTCATTTTTTTAGCGCTCAATGTTTAGGAAGAGCAGATATCACAGCCAGACAGTAGAGAAGCGGGTGGGTTGTCCCGTCATACCATCAGTTCCCAAAACCACACACACACCAAAAAAAAAAAACCTAGTAAAGGCACACATAGACCGCATACGGGGTCAAACTCTCGTGCAGTCTAGCTGGACCCTGTCTCTTAAGACCAGTATTGAGTTATGAAAGAGCTATGATTTATTCCCTTTTTTTTTATAAAAAGATCTGAAAAACAAAATCTGGAGAAAAACCTTAACAGATAAGAAGAAAGTCACTGACGAAGCCATATGTAGCTGCATTATCCTTCCAAAAATGACTTTTCTGATTGTAATATTGCCCAAGTTGAAAGTCAAATGATTGTTATTCCATATATTGTCCAGTTCTAGAAAAAGAGTGTAAACTATATGCAACCATGAACATTTTGGGTATTACAACAAATATCTAAAATGACCAAAGACAATTTTGCAGCTCTGACTCACACTAACTTTATTTTAAGTTTTTTCAGTCCTCCCAGATCACTCGGTGTCCCGCTTCCTATTCGCTTTTTTTTTTTTCCTCGATGAGTCTTTTTGTCCTTCCTGACACGCCGTAGAGGACAACCAACAAACGTGCAATGTTGTGACTCGATCCAGCTAGTTTACGGTTTTCACCTGAACACGTGCGAAGACGGAAACGCGCTCGTGTCCGATCGATTTTTCTCATTGAACCCTAAAAGTCCCGCGGAAAGCTGCGGTCCCGTTGGCCTGCGCAGCTTCAAAACCGGAGGAGAAGAAGAACCGGAACCTTGACGGTAGCCTTGTCAGTGGAGATCCGAGAGGAGGCTAAAAATATTTCCACCTCGCGTCTGTGGGGGAGAAGCCCGTCGCTAACATGTCAGCCGTGCAAAACGAGTCGAGGAAGCGCAGCAAGAAGCGCTATGTGTCCGGTCAGCAGGGCAAGCGGTGGAAGGGCTCCCGGGAGCTGGAGGTGGGAATGCAGGGGATCCTCATCACCTGCAACATGAACGAGAGAAAGTGCACCGCGGAGGCCTTCAACCTGCTCAACGAATACGCGGACAAGCTCTACGGTCCGGAGAAGGTCAGACTGGCTGTGGCGAATCGTTTTAATCCCGTTTGCTACTAAAGAATGCGAAACTGCGCGTTCAAATGCGGTCCTGTTGCAGGTGACGGCTGGTGATCCAACCTCACGGCTGGCTGTGTCTCCCTCCACCCCCGGCTGAACCAGATCAGACTTGATTAGAAAATCCTTTAAACGGGGATCCAGTTCAGCCCCCTTTTCTATCCCCTGATGCTGCTATTATTTCTTTAGCTGGTTAGTCGCGTGGAAGCTCGTCCTCTTGAGGTTTTTCTACAGCCTGCATGAACAAATTATAAGGTCAAGTGAAATGTAATTTTAGTGAATTGGTACAAAATGAATCTCAAGATAGATTTGAAGTTTTTTTCTGTCTATTTTGATGATTATGGTTCCATTAAAAAAAAACGACAGAAAGTTGAGTGGAAGGAAAAAGTCTTCACTCTTGAAGAGTGATTTAATTTTCCAGCAGGGCTGTTATCCTACTCCAACTGCCCAATGTGTCAAAAGCAGGTTCAGTGATCATGGTATCTGTAGCTGCGTTTTCATTGCAAATGTGCACAAATCTTTGCCAATGTTGAAACAAAAAAACACAATTTTGCTATTGAGGTGTTTCCATTAAATTACAAATGAATTAAAATTATGTTCACGAGCTTGTTTATGCGCCAAGTCACTATAAATCATGGCAGCGTTGGATGCAAACAGTTGCATGAGATATATTCAAAATTAACCATCAGAGGAGACGTCTGTGTCTTATTCAGGCATTGGAACTACAAACTCCTCATACTTGGGAGTGGCTGCATATATGGCGTTTTGGGGAAATTGTAGTTAGTAATTTTACAGAAGTGCTATGGATTCAACACGTTGGAATGAGAGTTTATATGAACTATGCGATGCTGTGGTGGAATCAGATGCACATTGTCTGAAAAACAAAATATGAAGTACTTCCTGTCCTCTTCTTTGTGGTTTCTGCCAGTAGTGACATCCGGCTGTTGATCACATGTCAAGTGTGATCAACACCTTGCGAAAAAAGTGTTTCCATTGCAGTGAAGAATATTTTGCCAAAGTTTGAAAGGCTGTTTTTTTGGGGGGTGGGAGGTTTAAGTAAAGAATAAATAAAATAGCCAAAACAAAGTTTCACTTTAACTTGCAGCTTCAGAACAACAAAGGAAGCAGCAGCAGTGAGGAAGAAGAAGCCGAAGAAGAAGACGTAGACGTGGCGTTGAAGAAGGAAGTCGCACAGCTTCAGTCGTCTGCAGGCAAACAGGAGAGACGCTTCCAGGCCCTGGAGAGCGGCGCTAACAATGTCATCTTCATCAGAACTCACAATCTGGGTATGCTTTTTAGAAACGGGGAACGTTTGTTTTATTTTAGATTTTATTAGGGTTTTTAATTGACTTTTAAAAATTTCTTTTATAGAACCTGACAAATTGGTTCATCACATTCTGTCTGACCTCCATTCTACCAAGAAAAAGAAGTCGCGAGTCATCCTCCGGATGCTTCCTGTGAGAAGACACAGTGAACCCTAATCTGAATGCATTGATTGTGGTAGAAGTTATATGAAAGATGAAGAACAATTTCTGCACAGTTTTATGTCGGATATAAAGTCTACCATCATTTGTTGTTCTTTTTGTCATTTGTTGTGTCTGATCTTTCTTTTTGTGGGCTACAGGTAACTGGAACGTGCAAGGCGTTCCAGGAAGACATGCTGAAATACCTGACTACCTTCTTAGAGCCCTGGTTCAAAACTCCGCACAGTGCAACTTACCAGATCGCCTTCAAGGCCCGAAACAGCAGCCATAACAAGAGAGAGGAAATCATCAAATCCATCGCAGGTGCGTTCAGGTCCGCCGCGGCGTATTAGAATTGGCTGTTTTCCGATTTAAAAACGAAAGTTTTCTTTGGGGTTTTCCACCATCACCCAGGTCTCGTTGGGAAGCTGAACCCGAAAAACAAGGTGGATCTGACGAACCCTGAGCTGACGATAATCGTGGAGGTAATCAAGGCCGTGTGCTGCATCAGCGTGGCCAGAGACTATACGCTGTACAGGAAGTACAATGTTCAGGAAGTGGTAAAAGAGGACGCGGCCAAGACGAAAACCGACGTGATCGCTGGCGAACGGAGAGACGAGCACAGCGGAGGGGAGGCGGAGAAGGACAAGGAGGAGAAAGTTGCACAAGATGAGGAGAAAACTGGAGCACAGGATGAAGAGCAGGAGGAAGTTGATAAGGACGAAGGCAGTGGAGAATAAGAGTTCAGACTCAAAAAAATCAGCCAGTTTCTTTATGCTTAAGTGTGATTTTTAATTTTTATTTTTAACTGTTAACAGTTGTCTAATACGATGGAGTATTAGGGCCATTCTAAAAAAAATAATTATTGTGGTATTATGAGGATATAGTCATAGTATTACAACTTATGACTTCAATTCTGTAATGTTTCAACTTAATTCTTGTATGACTTTATTCTCTTAATTAAATTTTTTTTAATGTCTTAGCATGGCCCAAATATTCTGTCGTAATCAAAATGCCCTGGTTGTTAATAGTCTAAAAGATAATAATGTAACTTAATGTTTTGGGGCATTTTTTTTTTAATTAATATATGAAGACAAATGTCAGACTTGTAAGGTAAGAGGGTAAGTGTCCAGTTTCTTGCAATGAAAAGTTACACCTTTGACCTTTTTGTATTTTGAATTTCAGTTTCTAATTTAGATCTTTTTACTCAAATAATTGCAAGTTGGGCCACATGGTCAACAGGAAGATTACATAATTAATTACCCGTCTACTCTTTGTAGTTCTTTCTTAATTCTCAAATTAAAGTTCTGTGTTTGACTGGTTTCTTTAATGTTTTGTTTTAAACTCAACACGAAGACAAACGGCCGGGCGTGAGTGAGATAAGAACGTATATGGAGAAAATTAGTAGCCTATTCTTGCTAATAAAGCCTAAGGTGATATTGGCATGAATGTGATCATTTAGTGAACATTGTCTGAATTTGACAGCGTTACAACTTGCTGGGAAAAACTGCAAGCTTTTGCTAGTTTTCTGCCATGTTGCCAACATGTTCGTCGCTGCCTCACCCATTGGTGTAAAACTGGCGCGAGCGTCTTTGCACTCGAGTTGTGTTTAAAGGCGGCTCGGAAAAGCATGTTGCTACATGACAACTGATTGAACCGTTGTAATGGCTGAAAAGAAACACTTTCCGCCCATGCTGCCAGGGTCACAAACTCTTTGAAATACTATGGCGTGTGGAATAAAACTCTTATCTCTTGTGGTGAAACTAAAAATAGTTGGTCAGCAAGTCTTTCAGCTGGATAATGACCCAAACCCTAAAGCCAAATCAACACATTGTTTACTGGCAGCATATCAACCTGCTCTCATGGCGACCTCAGTCCCCTAAAGACAAAATGCTCTCCCAGAGGCAATCAAGCCACCTGGGCAAAGTGTTGACAGCAGGGGTAAAGAAAATTGGGATTTGGCTTAAAAAAACAAAACACAACAATTCTCTTCCTTCCTTGGGTTTCTCTCCACATCCTCACCAGGTTGTCAATATGCACAGTACTGAAATTCCAGTTTGATCAATAATTCAGATTTATCCCACAAGATGGCTTTAGCATCTCATCTCTTTTCTTTTAAAAACGGTACTATGAATACTTCTTGGCTCTAAGCCTATATTTTGTGCTGACAGTCGAGGTGGACACAGTAGTTCTGGAGTACTGAAATTAGGAAGGCTAAAAACTAACCAACTAAGCAAGCAAATTAGCAAAAATAAAGTGTTTTTTTTTTGTTTTTGCTAATTTGTGTCTTATCTTTTCAATTCTTCTGAACATCAGAAATCTGTACTAGAACAATAAAAAACAACCTCTAAAGTCTTATTTGAAGAATTTGGATTAAGTTATTATAAGTGAGTGACAATTGATAGATGACGATGATTATGATAATATATTTTTTGACCAATTTTTTTTTTTTAAAGTGGTCATTGGATGCACACTGCTGCTCGTAATATGGACACATTTTCAACTGAGTGTTTCCAGTGCTGAGAGAAGGCAGAGGAGCTCGATTATTTCAGATTATCTGTCCCTTATGTCTTGTGCCTTTAATATTAAATGCAAATAAAACATAATGCATCCAAGCATTTCTAGTTGCAGTATTGCCAACATTTATATTCCATTAGACATATTGTGCAGCTCTGTTACTACTGTATGTAACTGTATGATGACTGTATGATGACTTATGTAACAAAATAATGTTTTTCATTGATATATTTTGGCAAAACAATTATGTCAGGAGTCTTGGAGGTGTTGGGAAGTGGTGCAAAAGCATATTTCCTTTTTTAAATTTTGTTTTGTTTACAAGAGTTTGCAAAAGGTCGTGCATCTCTTTCCTGTGTCTTATCTCTGCATCCACTCAGGTTGGAAATATGCACATTTTTTCTTCTTCTGTAGAATTATCCCAGTTTTCTCGACTCTGTCTGCAGAGCCTTGCTCCAAAGGTCATCAGAAGTGATTTAGCTTTTCCTCCCTGTGGATACAGTAAAACCCCCATAATGTGTTTTTTGTTCATATATTCGTGCTAAAATCCACAAAATGAAATATGCAAATGGAACAGAAACGGTCTAATTTATTAGCGGCGTGGCATAACTGTGGTCTCGGACAAACACAAATGATGATAATTATTCATAACGAGAACCTTCGGTCCGTGTGCTCTTGCTTGCATTCACATTTACTAATTTGCGGTATGTTTTCTGCTCATTACACTCGGGATGAACTGTTGCGGTGACCCACCCGTCGTTATCTCCGCCGTTTTCCTGCTAAAACTCACAAATGACATTGCTGCTGGCTCTCAGGTGGCTCAGTCAGAGGGGCCCGCTGACAGGCGTGCAGGAACAGGGAAAGGATTTCAACCCGTCAGGGTGCATTATTAGTAAATTAGCAATTAGGCGGTGTATCTGGCGGATATAATGGCCAACGTACAGCGATGTCTCGTAATGACAAAACCGCTCTGAGCAAAACAAATAAATACAAAACAATCCGAAAAGCAACTTTAAAAACTTGCTAAGAGGAAAGTGTTTATTTTTTTAGGGGAATAAAAATATCTTTTAATCAGCAGGTTTATATGTTGAGTAATGTGGAAAATAGGAAATCAGAATATTAATAGCAGCGAGAAAATGCGGTTGTCCACACGAGAAACTCTGATGTTAAAGTTACCCTGAGGGTCGTTTCTAATTAAACGTCCATGGGCAGTAAAGCCCGCTGTTCTCCAAGTCAAAGGTGCACTTCACATACACGGCGCTCTGCTGCATGCGATCGAACGCTCGTTTAGGTTTAAATGTCACAATCCTGTGAAACAATCACATCCACAGGCACACGAGCACATATCCAGTCCCAGGGGTCAGGATTAGCATCCACTGGTGTGTGACTCCATATCTGACCTTTATGAGTAGCTAAGTAGAGCTCTCTGGGGTCTCATTTGTTTCACCTCGACCAAACAATGGCTTCGGCCCCCTCACAACTCTAGTGCTATCTCCCTCTCTCAGTGCTGAACACAGTGTTGTCATAAGTTAATACATTTGTTTGATAAAATCAATTTAAGAAAATAAATAAACTGCTAGGATAGGGTGTGTGTTTTTTTTTGGCCGTATCAAAATTGGTTTATATACATCCTATATATTTTATTTTAGCCATTCATAGATATGACACACTTATTGTAAAGAGATGTAACAAGCTTGAACCTACAAAAAAAACCCCAACAACCTGACATTAAAATTAGTGCTGTCAGTTGATTTAAAAATATCACACTGTGGCGCTGTGATGAATCATGATTAATCACCAGGCCTAACTTTGTGAGGTTGGAAAATAAATATGCACACAGGTGTGGTTCTTCCAGGAATGGTGCCGTGGGCAAGACCCTACTTCTGCTGCACTCCAATCAATTAAAATTAAGTCAATTATCAGACTGACTTAATTAAAAAAAAAAAAACAGGGTGGCAACAGGTAGTTGCTGCCCTGGGCAACTACCTGTACAGCCCATATAAAAAATCGTCCCGATGCATGTTTTCATAAACTGCTTAACAAAATGTTTTATTGTCTCAAAACAAACTTGTATGAAGATTCTCCAGGTTTTTATAGTCAGGAAGGTTTAAAGGATGACATTTTATTTTACAGGCTCATTTAGAAATATCCCTCTCCGTTCACTAGAATTTGTGCGATGTGCTGATGACAGTCTCTTGTCGTCCTCCTGCTGAGCGACTGGTCTAATTTGTGATGTGAAATTTCAACCTCATACACACAGGTCTGCACACGAGCACCAGCAATGCAACACAAGAAAGCTTAAAAATGTTCAACTTTGTTGCTCTGTGCAGTCGCAGTTTTGGGCCGACTCCCTGTCAAACTGTGAAAACCCAGAATATTTTAATAAGAAGCTCAGAATACCTGCAATTAATGTATGTATTAGATTTGTGTTTTCTAGCTATATTGTCATGCACAATTTGTGTGCATGGACTTGTGAATCAGTTTAGATTAGTTTAACCTGTTTCTTACTATTTCTTAATGCCTTTTCTTATACCCCCTTATGAATATATCTTCCATTGTATGTTGCTACTGAAGATTGAGTTAGTATTTCATTCCTGAATTTATTCACCACATCTGATTTTTATTTCCTGCATCACTAGGTGTCATTTTTTTAATGATTACTATTGTATGCTATGGCTGCAAAAGTCACAAGAGGCTACGTTGTGCATTGCAGCAAACATTCATTAGTAAAACTCAGCAGTGGCGACATGTTGACCATTGTATTACTTGGAAACTTGCTAAGACGTTCCGAGCAGATCCGTGCCAACCGAAAGCGACTGAGCGGTTATTTCCCAGATAATAAATTACATCCTCTAAACTGACCACATAGTTCGACCCATGTCTCTGTCTGTAGTGATAAAAAGCATTGTCATCCTGCCAAAAATGCTGTCTTACTCCACTGCTGTTGTACCATTAAGACTTTTTATATTATTGTGTTTATCGCAATGCAAGACATCTTAAATTTTCAACATGCCTGTCTTTGGGGGGGGGGAAAAAGGATGCACACATCAGTAATTTATATATTATTTGTTGTTATGGAAAATATTTTTGGAGGACTAAGTGGATTCAGACAATGGAAGGATGGATGGATTTTGGAGTACTTCTGTCACTATGAGAGATTGTATAAGAGCCTGTTTGTCAGGCAGCCATGTGAAATGAGCTCAACAATGAAAAATGCTTATCAACCCTCAGCAGCCTGTCAGCTTGCTGTTATTAGCTTTTACCCCCCACAGCAATCCCACAGGTAGGGAAGGCGTGCTCCCACACACTCGTACACTTCTATTTCTCTTCCCAGAAGGCTAAAAAAAAAAAAAAAAAGGCAATCAGTTGACGGATTTGGTTGATTGGGATTACGGAAAGTAATTTGTGTAAAAACTAAGTGGAGTTTTTTTTTCTTTTCCCAAGGAACCAATAATGTAGAGAAATTGGTTTCCTTCCTACCTCAGGTGGAACTGCTGTTTGAATGTAAATGACTGCTAATGAGATTAGCATGCAGAAAAAAAATTAAGAAAGCTGGATTCGATTGGAACAGCCAAACAAAACCATTTGTCCTGCTAATGAGAGAAAATAACCACTTGGGTATATTGGTTGTTCCAGTTCAGAGTGATATGCTTTGGTGAGGTTGGGTTGTTTTTTTTCGGAATAACTGGGAGGTTTTTTTGCTGTTGGGAGACACATTTAAGTATAATGGTAACAAGAACCTTGACAATTAGTTAGACAGGGGAGGCCACATGGGGGCAGAGTGTCAGCAGGGCAGCACACAAAGTGA